AATATCAACTTGATTTTCTGAAATAAAATCGATTAGACTTAGTTGTTTGAAGTTATCAAGAAGACCATTAACATTTAATGAGTGTAATTTGATTGATTTTGTAATATTTGAATTTTCAGAAGATAAGATGTTGTTGTTTGTATGTGTTATAATAGAGGAAGGTTTAGAAGGTATTGGTATTGTAGATAAAAGAGAGTTTTGACATTTTGAGAGAGAAGGTATTTTGAATCTTGTTAATGTATAATTTGTTTTGAGTAAAACACTTTGAAAGTTTGTAAGATTTACGAAAGAAATGTTAGTGAAGTTGGGTAGGGGATTCATTTCCTGTGGAAGATGAGTATGTGCTTCTTTGAATATATTGTTTTTAGATGTTTTAATAAAAATATTTATATATTGTTCTGAATAGTAATTTGGATATTCATTTTGGATAAATTTTAAAAATGAACCTATTGACTGTGGTGAGGGTAGGAGTTGTAGGTTATAAAAGGAAAGGAATTTGTTAAAACATGTTAAGGGATTATATATTTTGGAGAGGTCTGGAATTTGGGTGAAGGTTTTTCCTTTACTAGTTTTGGTAGTTGGTGAGTCGATAGTATCATTTGGATCTTCTGTTGATGATTCATAATCAACATTAGTAGTTTTAAAGTTTGTTGGAGTGTTGATAAAGATGTTAGGTATTTGTGATTTTTGAGAAGTGGATATAAAAAATTTTTCTGGAGGGGAATTCTCAGAAGGATGTGATGAGTTGTTATCTGAGAAGTTAGTTTTTCCTTCTATAGATGCGCTCGCTGTATACTCGGTTCTCACAGTTGCAGAGGATACCATAGTCTGCCCTGTACGTTGGGTCTGACCGTCATTAACTTGGTCCTTCGCGTAAAATTATATTTTAAATACATAATGATTGCAATCATAAATTATCATATTAGTAAATCATGTATTATTATTATCAAATCACATATTATTATTCAAGGACCAAGTTCTGATCAAAGTGCCTATTTGAGGAGTCTGGAAGGATAGGATCAGACTTTTAATAACCCTAATGTTTACAGCATTAATTTTGGCTTAAGGTATTGACCACTAGTCACAGCATATATTGTGCCAAAATTCAGATAGGAATTATATATATAATATCTTGGATCACTGTGTAATTAGTGAATTAATCTCCACTAATATCCAATGATCTAAGATATTATTATTACTAAGCATGCGATATTGTACAATATGGGATCTTTGTTAGAAATTTTTTTTCTCAAAATAGATTTATAATGCTTTTTCTAATAAAAATCTTATATAACAATAGCTCGTAAGGTTTTTGCGAAACACTATCATCAAATTTATAAAAACTGCAGATATGAATGTTTTCAATGGAATGATTGTTATTAAAATGAATATGCATGAAGTATTGTTTTGGCAAACCAATCTGCATTATGAGTAATATAAACAAATTAACGATTTATTAACAACAGACTGATATACATGTTAAACTAATTTATAAGTTGAATTTTCCCTCATATTTTTATCAATTTACTTTATTACTGTTTTTACAATTCTATATAAACATACATAGTTTAAAATAATGGCTCGCAAAATAGATACTTTGATTTGAGAATTTTTTCACTTTGGTTAATATTTATTATTACTAATGCACATAAGCATAACAAAAATCATCACAAAAATGGTTATAATAATAATTACATATATATTTCTACTACTAAATGTTTTATTTCTATATTAATATCTATATTTGAATTGATATCTGTATCTGAAACCATTTTTACACCTATAACTACACCTATTTCTGAACTTATATCCATACTAGAACCCACACCTGAACCCAAATCCATACATGAATCTGTATTTACATCTGAACCTACTTCTAATTCTAAACTTAATCCTACTTTAGAACCCAAATCCACATATGAATTTGCATTTACATCTGAACCTACTTCTAATTCTGAAGTTAATCCTACTTTAGAACCCAAATCCACACACAAATCTGTATTTACATCTGGATCTACTTCTAATTCAGAAATTAATCCTACTTTAGAACCCAAATTCATACATGAATCTGCATTTACATCTGAACCTATTTCTAATTCAAAAATTAATCCCATTTTAGGATGTTGTTAAAAAAAAAGAGGTCCAGGATGGAGAGACAAAATATATGGAATAGATGCTGCTTATCAACATTATTATATGAATAATACAATTTCCAATGTTTCAGTACAAAAATGTTGTTTTTTATGAATTGAAAATAAAAATTGTCTTCAATGGGCTTTTGATGATTTTGATACATATGAACTCTTTTATAAAAATAATTATGATGATTTTTGTTTAAGAGCTATTATGATATTCAATACTGGTGGAATTGTATGTTGTGATAATGAATATTATTAAAAAAACACTAAATTAAAAATAATTAATATGTTAAAATTTTTATTGTTATTTTTATTTTTATTTGTTTTTTATTTTTATTTTTTTTTATTTTTTTTTTATTTTATTTTTTTTTTAGTTTTAATTTTTTTTGATAAATAAATTATTAGTTGCGATACTTTTTTTTTTAAATATATGAATTAAAACTTTAAGAATTAATATTGAGATTTTGTTCATTTGGATATGATGATTTGGATTGTTATTGAAATAGATGTTGGACAAAAGAATATATACCAGGAATGTAGTAATGAAATTACGAAGTGTATGGTTAACAGACAACTAGAATGTCTAGTGAACAAAATCTGGATTATAATTGGATGATGTGAAAAATATTATAGAATGTGTGCATATATAGGTGTGAAAGTTATACGTACGTGAAATGTTTGTGACATGTATGTGTTGATTCATATGATTACGCTTGGTATAATACGGGACAGTAAAAGGCATCCAATCAATACATATAGACACCAATTTTTGATGCTTATATAATTAATTCTGATTGGCTAATTTTGTGTAATTAATTTTGATTGGTTAAAAATATATATATGTTTTCTTTTTTTTTATATTAAACGCCAATTTTTTAAACTCATATAAACTTTAATCCTTTATAACTTTTTTAAAACAAAGAATAAAAAAAAATCCTCTGACAAAATATAATTTATCTAAAAATCTATCAATTTGTCAGAGGTTTTTTTGATTTAACCTGTTTTAAAAAAGTTATTACACTTCAAAGTTTTTATTAATAAACATTGGATGTCTTTTACTGTACGGTACTGTAGAATGTCGTACCAGGAACGTAGTAACAGGTAATGAAATTATGGTTCCATCTAAAATGGCAAGTGTGCAAATTCACGAACTTGATTGGGCGATGGAAGACATCGTTTGAAATTTATACTCATGCATATCAATATGTGATCATATACATACGTACAACTTATCGTTATCTGTTATTAATGTGGTATAAATGCATTGCATATACGCATAAATTGGTGTTTGGAATATGTATACGTATTACGAAACATTATTAATGTAATTGAAAGCGACTTAGAATTGGTATATCTACATAGTAATAAGTAAATAAATTAATAAATGAACTAAAACAGTACCATCTTGTTGAAGGGCTCATTTGCTATCAATGCTGTCAAATTAAATGGTAAATTATCAGTTCTAAAGAGGGTACTAATTAATTTTGAGGTCTAAGAATATAAGAAACTTGGGTTACTATTTGCTATAAATTACGATGTTATTTATGTTTTTAATGATAAAAAAAGTTCATTAAAAGATCAAAAGAACTCATATGCTACATTCCTGGTTTGAGCGCGAATACGTCACGCAGCTATCCTAGTTATTTGGTAAATTTTGTATGCTTTATTTAATTCTTATTCTTCGACGCTATTATAAATTAGTACATAAAATGTTGTCATCATTACTATTATTTCATAGAATATACGGAAAACAAATGAAATACCATTATTAAAAAATAGAATTCGACATTGATCGAATAAATTATTGTTCTCTTATTATTTTAAGTGCTTGGAATTGTCTGAGATATTATATATGCGCCTTTCAAGTGTGAATAACCAATTCAATTTTTTAAAAACTGAGATTTGAATTGATAATTCTCATAAATTAATGTGACGATTTTTGCGATTTATTTGCCAAACTCTTTCTACAACTTCAATGTGCATAATGAATGGAAAATATTGTGTCGGTTACTATCATTACTTAAATACGCTCCTTTAAACAAAATATTATTATGAAAACGTAACGATAAATTTGAATACCAATCAGAAGTTTAATTTTTTTACACCATTACCTTGAATGATCATCGTAGAAACAACAAAACGGATATACAAATTCCAAATATATTTATGATACATTTTTGAAAAACAATTTCCGATAATCGCGAGTCTTTGATTTTCATGATTAAACCTATAATAAATTAACTAATCTACTAGGTGTTTCCTGTCGCTTCGCTTCCAGTTCATAAATTTTTCATAATTAGCTATATGAATATACTGTATGCGTGCCGTCAAAGGAAAAACTACAACAGGGCTTTCAATTATATTTTGTGCATAGTTTGCCATCTATCAACAATCTATCACACAAAATATGTTTGAAAGTCAGATGATGGACTGTCGATAGATGGCTAACTGTGCACAAAATATAATTGAAAGCCCGATTGTAGTTTTTCCTTTGACGGTATAGCGTATTATAAAGACCCCCATTATAATACCTTATATAAGTTTTATAGGCTTAAAGATGGCTAAATCGAAAATGGCAGCACCTTGGAATATAAAATACCCAGAGTAGTAAAGATGGATTAAGCACAATTGGAATATAAAATATTCCTAATCTATTTGAGCCTTATGTAATTTCATCCTTGATTCGCAGGGTCCATTATTTTTGATTTATAAAAAAAGGCACCTTTTTATTAGGGCTAGAAGGGCTAAATTATGTGGGCAATATCAAAAAAGTGGGCCTTTTTTATGAATCAAAAAGAATGCGTTTGCAAACCTTATACCCCGTGCTAATCATAGTAATCCCTCTGACCAGAGCCACCGGATTTTAGTAGCATCTAAAATAGGCTATTTTTTAGCAAAATAGCTAGCAACATTGTTTGTGCTAAGATTCGAAATTTGCCATTTTTGCACTAAACATGTGATTATTACTTTTGTTCTTGAACTGATTGATACAAACGAGTAATTATATGTATATTTTAGATGATGACTGAAGAACTCACTGAAATGATATATGAAGAACTCGCAGAAAAGAAATATGATTACATTAAAATTTATACTTAATAAATATAAATTTATAATAAGTTATTTGTTAATTTTGTGAAATTTACTAGCTAATTTTGTCAGCTAGTTTTACTTTTAACGACCAGTGGCCCTGCTTCTGACTATAATACTGCATTTATTTGTAAAATACTCTGTGCCTTTTAGACCATGCTATATAATAAATAAGGTCAGCGGTTTATTAATATTAATTTTGTAATTTTTACATATCATTCTTAAAATAAATTAATAAGTTCTAAGCTTATAACTAATAAAGAATCTTTTATATCACTGACTGTAATATCTCAAGAACTAATTACAGGAGGGTACTATATATATATGTTATATATATATATATTTTTAAATATTAAGGTGAGTACTTGCAACCCAGGATTTTATTGATAGTATATTTGGCTAATGGCTGCATTACAACCACAGGAACAACCATAAAAAGAGTGTACAACTAGTCACTCATACAACTTTAGTTATTGTCTAATTTAAATAGTCTGCCTAAAGGTTTTACACTAGTTGTCATACCTGAAACCTGCTTGTAGGTTTTCTATTTAGTCACTCTAGTTCCTGTATCCACCCACTTACCTCTGTTTACCAATAATCCTGGCCAATACTAGTAAAAATATGTCATGATCACTAAGTCTTTAAAGCAGTTCTTTGGAACCTTTGATCTTGTATTAAACCTTCCAGAATATTCTGTATTCCATTTTTACAGTTAATCCAGTATTACTATAGTCAAGACCAATACTGTTAGTCAGGATGTATTATTAAATTATTATGCTCTTGTAGAGTTCACCCTAATCCCAATACTAACTTTACAACATATCTCTACTACTTTGGTATTCAATTCAAGTTCTATCAAGTTCCTATTCCAAATAGCTCAGAAAGGTAGGCTATAACTATATATTTGATTTATATATTTACTGACATATATTTTTTTCTTCGAAATCTAAAAATTATAGTAGTCTGGTTGATTTATCTAGTCCCTTCTTAAAGACTAACACATTTGACCAATTTTATAAATTCTAGTTCTGTTTTATAGGTTTAGTCTTTATAATAACATTATTGAAAGTTCAGATTATCTCTTTATTTAGGTTTTTCAAATAGGTTTCTATCTTCCTACCTGGTTCTTGTAATTTACACAGTTAAGAACTTATCTTAGGTTCATATTATCTAGTACTGATTTATGTTTCTTCATATAATATTATATGAGTGTCTAGACCTTTTAGTTATGTTGATATAATATAGATTACAGATATTTAATTCCAACTAATCACAAAAAACAGTTAATTATAATACAAAAAGAATTTCAAATTTTTATTATTACTGAGATTTGAACTCTAGACCTGTCATTTGGAGATTGACAACTTATTTACTTCACTAAATTATTACACCTCTATGTATATATTATTGTTTATATAAATAAACAATAATATATTAGTTAATTAGTATGTTATATATAAAAATTTTATATAATTTTTATAAGTTATCTCTTAAACCAAATTTCAGGCAAATTTGTTTAAAAAATTAAATTATATTTAATATTTCTTAAATAAAATAATAATTTATTAATAATATAAAATATACTTTACTTATAAAATATATTCTTAAAAACATATTTTATAAACTTTATTATAAAACTTTTTTTAAAATATTAATAAATTTTTATATATTAAAATTTTAAAAATTATATTTAAAAATTTTTACTATTAAAAATTTTTTAAAATTTTTTAAAATTTCATATATTTTTGAAGCTAAAAAAAATTTTTATACTTTGTACAAGTCTAAATTTTTATAAGTAAATTGCAAAAGTATTATTAATAAAAATTGTCATATTTTATATAAACTAAAATATTGTATTAAGAACTATAGACTTAAATTTAATATTT